TAGTCAGTGATTCAAGTTTTAAACAGGTAATAATCAGTGATATGTGAAGGTTTATTCTCTGCAGCTGGAATCAGCAGCACTGTATTTAGACGCACAAATCTAAGCTAAATAGAGGACCTGCAGGGCCACACAGTCCTGATTGACTGTTTGTGTTTGTTGTTGTATGTGGAATTAAAGATTACCTTCCACTTTTGGATCAGTCACTGTGGCTTTTTTTGGCAGCCCTTAACACCTCCAGTGCCACTTTGTGTGTATATGTGTGTGTATGTGTGTATCTAACACCTTGATTTCAAATAGTTTTAAAAGAACATTTTGGTTGTTGTATTATTTCTGAGTTCATGTCCCAGCGCTATACCAAATCAACAAGTTATTTTAGCACAGCGGCAAGCTAGCCTTTTCCTGAGTGTGCAATTTCACTACAAATTTAACACTGTAAATTACCTTAAATCCACTTGGTGCTTGTGCAAAGTGCTGAGTTTAACAACGCTGACATATTACTTATAAACTGGAAACGTTAGACACTCATCAGTGGCCTTTACAGTTGCTACCCAGAGAGGGCGCTCATGAGCCACCAACCAACGCCACTGTATATATGGCAAGTGGAATTATATAACATGCAGACCCTGTAACCTCGGGCAATAAGGCAGGAAATGTTTAGCCCAAGCAGCAACCACCATGGCTGACAAATGAGGCCTACATGGAAGAAGAAAAACCGCAGTTCTTCGAACGGCCACTTGAGGCTGGCTTTTTTTTTTTGTTTTCTGTATTTCCGTATCCCCTATTTATAAATGGTATGCAGGAAACACCTCATTTAACAATTTTGGTTTTGTCATTTCAAAACAAAAATCTGTTGACTGCAGAGTACACTGACCCAGAAATAAACCTGTTTACAGCCTGGAACCAAAAATGGTTTTGGTCTCTAGAGCTAAATTCCTTGTTAATGACAACTTTATGGGCGTGAATGTTTATATCAGTCAACTGTTTAAATTATATTAACGCTGATTTTAGTAACCAGGTCCGCATCAGCCTCACGTCTTTGCCCATTTTTGGATTAGCTGACACTGACAACGCCTCCTCAAAAAATGATTGGATGACGTCACAGACACTTTATCTTGTGTGTTTAACCTGTACACGAACAGAAATGTAAAAGACGACTATTCGTAGTTTTCTAAAGGAGTTACAATATTTCTTAGCGGATAAGTCAGATGACTTGGTTTTACTGCCTTTTATTTTACTGTTTGGGTTCAGTCTCACTGTCTGAAGACTGCTACAGAGGTTGCTTCTTGAAAATTTTTAATTTATGCGTGTGTAATAATGCAGCCGTGAGGTTCCTGGGTAGGAGGCAGCAAACAAGTCTGAGGTAACACCACTGTAACAATGGAGGGAGACAGAGAGACAGAGAGAGAGAGGAGGGAATAAGTGAGAAGTATAAAAATGAGGATGACCACTGTATAATTTATTCATTTCTTGTGTCTGTGTGTATCTGTGTGTGTGT